GTGAACATTTAGTGAAACTGAAAGTAAACAAAAGCTAACATAATCTAACAGTTACAAAACAAGAATGTGATTGATAACAAAACTTTGGAAAAAGCTAATTTTACAGAAATAAAATACAGAAACACAAACTTTTCAACTTGCACTGCCCTTTCACGTAAATTAAAAAAAAATTCCAAATTACTGTCACAGATCTATGAGGAACACCCCCGCCCCACAAAACCTTCAGCAGATACTTGTACAGATACCCAGGTTTTCATGAAAGAAACTTGCCCATTCAGATTTTTAGTAAACAGCAAATCAACCAGCATTTGAAACAGAAACAATGTATACATACTGCACTACAAAATATTTATTCAGAAATGTATGCTTTTGAGAAAACTGTTTATGCAATTGTGTGGCTAACATTGCAAGTATGCTAGGCCATTTTTGATTAAAACAGGTCTTTTCAGAAACAGGAAATGTTTCTCACATGCCTATGCTGATTCCCTTATTCAAAACTAAGATTGCATTTCCCATAGATTTTTACCTACTGGGGGACCATAAGTCAATACTGAGGAGGCAAAGCAAGCAAGTACAGGTAGTCCTTGACTTACGATCACAGCTGAGCCCCAAAGTTCTGTTAAGCGGCGTTTGCCCCATTTTACGACCTTTCTTGCCACAGTTGTTAAGTGAATCACTGCAGTTGGTAAATTAGTTAACCTGGTAAAGTGAATCCAACTTACACACTGACTTTGCTTGTGAGAAGGTCCTAAAAGGTGATCACATGACCTTGGGACTCTTCCACCCTTTTAATGACCTAATAATTACCTGCAGGAAGGGGACTGATTTTTCTCAACAAATATCTGAAATGTTTTACTTATTTGAAACATGTATACGGTATCCCATCTTACCAAAAGCCACTCTAGGCACCTCACAAGAATCAGAAAGAAACCACAGATATAAAAAGAGGAAACAGCTTACTTGTAAAAGGCTTCTGAAATTAGCTGAAGGGTTCCACATGAAGTTGGAGTTTTATAGTTTCCCATTCCTAGATTACACAGACCGACTCAAGGGAAGAGTTCAGAATCTAGAAAATAATTTACGTCTTTTGCCCTTTTAAGCACACTGATACTTTGACTCTAGTGTAGCACTCTTGGAAAATGTAATAATATACCTATTTGTTGAAAGAAGGGGGAACTTTGTTAGACTTGGATAGAGTAGAATAGACTTGGTGAGACTAAGAGAGTTAATGTACAAAACACATAGGGGGGAATAGATAAAAAACAATAAGACAACTTTTTTTTCTTCCTAGCATTTTACTGCAAGCGCAGGGTACACTTTTTTCCAGATCAAACTTTCCTTCTCCTTTGTCACCTATATGAAAAGTATGACCCAAATGATTCATATACAATCACTTACACTGCCACACAAAAATCTAAAATGAACTCAATACTCAGGAAAGCTCTAAGAACTGTAGCTCTCTGATCAGGATTTTGATCCAAAATTCTAGCATAATTACCAATTGCCAAGCCTTATGATGTTTGGGAGATATCCCATATCATTATTCACATACAGAAAAACACGGAACCTTTGAAATGATATTATTGAGAATCATGTTAATAGTTGAGACAAAAATTTTGTTAGTTCTATTCTCTAACTCTGTTTTTAACCTAAATTTGAATTTAAGTTGAAACTCATACTAAAAGACTGCCTATTACTAAAAATGGCAGATAGCATGGTCCTTCCTCAAGTGTACAAAGCACTGAAAATGCGCTTTCTGGAACCACTGAAAACTTAAAAACAGGCTAAATATTTAAAACGTGTAGCTTCAGTGGTTCCTGAAAACTTTGTACACCTTCAGCACTTCATTAAGCCCAAGGAAGGACAAGGCCACCTACTATTTAATAGACAGATAGTTTGTGTCTAAGAGTTATTGTTAAGTTGGATGTTCTTAACCTGGGGACTGCCTGCACATGAAATCTTTTTTGGGTCTCAAAATGGTGGCAAAACTTGCTGCATAGTTTTCAGCAATGTTTGAAGGTGCTTCAGCTGCCACAAAAATTGCCTGAGGCCTCAAGCAGCACTGGGGTTGCAGACTGTTACAAACTTACCATACATACCACCATACATCAAAATATTTTCTTTTTTTTAAAAAAAAAAGTTTTTACATACATCAAAATATTTTCTACTTCTGGACTTCCGGTTGCAGAGCTTCAGTGGCAGGCAGGAATCCGCGATCGTGCGCGGTTTCTGCCTGGGCTCGCCGCTGGACCGCCCAGAGCCAGCTGGCTTCGGGGCTAAGCCACCCCGTAAAGGTGGTGAAGACGGGGGAGCACTAGCAGGGTTGAGGGGAGCCGCATCTCTCCTCCTCAGCTAGCTAAATCCCTTTCCTGAAGGCGGTAAGAGCAGCGGTCAGAAATGGCCGCCTCAAAGAAGCACTCAACCGGAAAAGAAAGTGCAGGAGAAAGTTAAGAAGTGAAAGTTTTGGCTGATCAGGATAAGAAGCAACAATTAAGATATCCTGGAATTTAAATTTTATAAAAGATACATTGCTCCCAATGAAGACTCGGAAGCAGCGAATGAAAGTGAAAAGGGAAAGTTTTTTTTTCACTCTCCTTCCTTATGTTGACAGTGAAGAGAGCTGAATGAGAAATCGGAAAAATCCGCGTTGGCACCAATAGATAATTAAACTGGAAATAATTAAATGCCAAAGGGACAATAAAGATTTCTGAACATTAAAAAATTCTTTTTTTGCTATAAGTGGGAAGGGAGAGGAAAAGAATAAGGGCAGGATTTGGAAGGAGGAGTCTGCCTGGAATTTAAAAGAATCTAAAGTTAAATCTTAATAAGACTTCTAAAAGATACAGTTTAACTGGAACTTTGCAACTAAATAGTAACCCCAGGAAGAGAAAGTGAAAAAAGAAGAAAGTGTTAAAAGAAACAGCTTGTCTGTATTTGGATTGCTTGGTGACTTTGGGACTTCTGGAAATTATATTTGAATGACTAAAAACAATTGGGTGGTTTAAAAAAATTCTACAATGGCATCACTTGTGGATGAACTGAAAATGGAATTAAAAAAATATAAAGAAGAGGCACAAGAAGGGAAGGGCTCTTTTGGCTCCGTTTTTCAATTCTTAGAAATGGCGATCTGTGCCTATGAGAAACTACAAGAAAAGTCTGCGCAACAAGAAGATTGGGACAAAGAAGAAGCCATCTTTAATGAACAAGTAACTTTATCTGGGGAAGAAAGGGGAAAGGGGGGAAAAGAGAATGGAGAATTTAAGACCTAAAAAAACAGCCAAAAAAGGGAAGAATAATGCGAAAAGTGGATATGATGTTAGAAAGCAACAGAAAGGGGGAATACAGAAGAGGGAAATGGAGGTGGAGAGACAAGGGGGTAAAAAAGGGAGAGAGAAGAAGAAAGGGAAGAAGGAAGGGAAGAGAAGTTACAAAGGTTTGGAGCAAGATGTAAAGAAACAGGACTTATTCAGAGATAATGGGTGAAAATTTAACTGAAAAAGGGATTCTGTAAAGGTACCTAAGATTGTATTGTTATATTTGTATTAGAAATAATATTAGAAAATTGGAAACAACATATGACTAAAAAGTGGGATACAACAGTCAGTGTAATTCAGTGAAATTTTTGTGAACAAAATAAATGAAATGAAATAAATGAGAGAATTGAATTAGGAAGGAATGGGAACATTTTAACTACTCAATGTTTTATAAAATATAAGTGAAGTGGGGGGGAAGTAACTATGGAAAGTTTATAAGTGTTCCCATAGAATTATGATATCTATTTTAAAAGTAATGTGTAAAATGTTTAAGATTTAAATGAATATTAATATTAATGATAGAATTGAATTGGTATGGATTGTTGTTTTAATTATATTATATATTTATAATTTTTTCTTTTTTTAAAATACAGCGTGTAGTTTTAGAATGTACCAAGCAGAATCCGAATGGAAGTTATGTATTATATTAAGTGTTATAATTTTAGGGGAAAGATATAAAGGCGACATACTCCAATCAATGATTACAAGAGAAATTTTGTTTAATGAGAAAAGATAAATAGACAGCTGAAACAGGACAGACAAAGAATATAAGTATAATGATCTGAACTGAGATGAAATAAATAAAATAAAATTAAGAAAGTTTAAAGAGGGGAGAAGCTATATAGAAAATGTAGAATGGTAATAAGATATGGAATGGTATATAAAAATGAGCATGAACTTGAATTTGTGTCTGTACGAAGAGATGTAACCCGGGATCATGCTGCTTTCAAAAAAGATGTTTTATGTTTTTATGTTTTATGTTTTGTTTGTTTATGTTTGTTTTTAAAAATAAAATTTTCAAAAAATATATTTTCTACTTCCCAATGAGATGGAAGAGGCAGCATGTGGAAGATAAATTATAACAGAGCAATTAACTACAAGCCAAGTCAGTCTCCTGGAACCTATGAAGTTTATAACAAAATTTAGGGATAATTATAGCATGCTTTGTTCATAGCAGAATATTATTCAATTAAATTAACACTGTGCACCTAAGAAAAAGCTTCAGTGAAATCCTTCCAAGTACAAAATACACAACACATATAGGCTACTACTAGAAACAGAACATTTGACAAGATGGAACTTTGGGTCTGCTTGAGAAATCGTTTTTCTATATTCTTATGCAGAAGATTGTGCTGCCAATCACACTGAGTGGGGAAATCCTGGAGTGACAGGAAGATTTCCAACCATTTTTTAAAAAAAACAAACCCCCGCATCCTTATATTTGAATGAAATATCCTTTATTATTTAATGATTACATTTTAGAATGGCTATTTGAAGTCAGTTTCTTGCTTTGAAACATCAATTTTTAAAAAGCTTTGGGTTTTAAGTGAAGGAATGTAAATGAATGTCGGTCCCCACTGGTTGTTATGAATATATAACTTGTTATTTAAAGAAAATAACATGTAGCGTAAAGCCTGTGAGTAGCAGATTCTGAAGCCATATCCAGGAGCCTATTCTTTTTCATACCTTTACTTTTGCATCAATGTCAGACTTCTCTATTCTCCATTGTGAGTCCTGCTTCTTCAGTTTCTCCAGGTCATTTAGCAGGTCAGCATAGCGTGTACTTAAACCCTCATTTTCCTCCTCCAGATTTTTTATAACCAGTCTGCTTTGCTTTTCCTTCCTCTCTGCACACTCCTTGGTGTCCTGTACAACAGTACCACGAGGGCCGATAAACAAAAAAGAGAGAAAATGTTTTTTTTAAAAAACTGAGAAGTAATCAGCAAATATAAACTATGCAGATTTTACCCTCACAGCAGCTTCTTGTATATTTGATAGCCAAGGTCACCTGTGTACTTTTTATTGGCCTCTTTCATGCAGGTGGAAGGGTCATATTTTTTAGCTGGATGACAGCTTTGATGAGTACACATTTGCAAAGAGCCCATTAATTGATCAAACTGCCTTTGATGGTGTCCCCAGCTATTTTTGAGACCTACACAGACATATCCTCCCAGACCTCGGCTTTATCAATTAATAATGCCAGTCCCATCAGAATCTAATTACATCAAGCCATATCTTCACACTCCTCCTTTCTTTGCTCCATTTCCATCATTAACTATTTATTGGAAAGTTATAAAGTGTGGATTCTTCACTTTAAGGGATCTTTTCTCTAGTTTGGCATGTGTGAGGAAACTGAAAGGTACAATCTAAGGCCTAAGGCTATATTTCCTCTGAGCTTGTCACTTTCTATGTCACAGAGACAGGCCAGCAACTTAAACAGCAACTTCAAAGTTATGGCTATCTTCCTACTATGTGTGAGTCAATATACCTTAAGTTCTTGGATTATATCTTGAGAGTTCTGTAAGGTGCAAAGCTCTTTTTTTAAGGCAACATTTTCTTCATCCACAGCAATTTTCCTCTGTACCAGGTTGTTTATCTCCTCTTGTTGCCCCCTTGTTCTCTAAGAAGGACAATTTAACATTTATTAAATAAAACAGGTAAAGAATGCAACGTTCCAAAATAAAAGTTCAAGCTATTTATTTAATAAATCAATCATTCCCATTTGTTAGTTCACCCAACTCCAGACAACTCCAGGCAGCAAACAATGAGAAAAGCAATATAAAAAATAACAAGCCAAGGAAAGAACAATGGATCACTTGGAATGAAAAGCCTACAACCAGGTTGGCCATGCACCAACCCAAATGGATTCCACTAACCCTACTACAAGCCCTGGGGGAAGAGCCAGATCTTTAGAGTTTATATGAAGGAGAGCATGATAGGGATTATTTGACTGATTGAGAAGATTCGCTTCCAGGGTTCCCATCAAAAGAAGGGACCCAGAGCATGCCAAGTATTTTGGAACAGACAAAATGACAGGCAGTCCTTCAAATAAACTTGAGTCATGAAAAACAGCTGTTTCATCTTACACCTGTACCTGCTTGCAGTTTTAGATTCAGCATGTAAATCTGTTTTGATGCTGAATAAATATCAATTTTAATATTATTTGATTACTGTATTCTCACTGGGCATATTAAAAGTATAAGATAATTGAAACTGCTGGCAATATTAGACATGTCAAATTTGCACAAATAAGAAACCCTGTAGTTTTACTATTAATTAACTATTATTATGAGATGCTTCAGAGCCAGATATTATAAGATAACTAGCCAGACCCAAGTGATATTCAAGTGATATTCAGACCCTTAATCTGTCCAAATCAGCAGAAGCCAATGGACAGCTTACATGAGCCTAACTACTTGTGAATCCAAAATCTCATTTTAAAAAAGGATGAAATATGATGGTCATCAACAAATGGAGAATCTGAGAGGTTGAACTAAATACTGCAGAAATATTTAAAATGCTGCCAATCCTGTCAGCTTGGTCTAATGATTAAGGTAACTGGCTAGAAATCAGGAAACTTAAGTTTTAGTCCTGTCTCAGACATGAAAGCCACCTGGGCCATTCACTCTGAGTCTATAAGACTTGGGTTGAGTGACAAGCTTATTAGTAAATTCCTGTTGCAACCAATGGATCAATACTTGCTTGAATTCCCTCTCTTCCTCCCTCCCTCCCTTCCTCCCTCAAAAAGTGACCTTGCTCTTGTGAGAAAATGCTAGGAAGAAAGTAAACTTAAGGTGCTATATCTCTTATCAATACAATTGGACTAAAATGTTGTAATTCAATACATTCTTTCATTAGCATGTTTTTACTCTGTCATGGGTCAGGACTTAGGTAGAGACTAAAAAGAGGCTTCAGCAGAATCCATGGAATGTCAACCTCGGGAGATACAAAGCCAAGAATCACTTCAGGTTGATAAAAAACAGGCACTGCCTAAATAGCTGTAGCAGTCAAATAAGGATGACATAAAGCTTTCCAGCCCCTACACCTGGCGATAGAGAGCAGAGCAGAGCTGTTATTTGAGGTTCTTGCCAAACAAGGGAGCATATCTTTTGATTAGTGGCGGATGACTTCCATCTAATTTAAGAGGCAGCCCTGACCCATGTGCCTTTGCTGGGAAAAAAACCCAACAATAGTGACAATATATGTAACTCGAGTGTAGGATGAGGGTAAAGGTTCATTCTCCAAGCTTGTGGGTTGGTTTCCAAACATTTCATTAGTAAGCTGGAAAACATCTTCAGTGGAATATAGGGAATCAGTGTTCTTCTTTTATAAGGGCTTTGTGTGGTCAGTAGGTTTTGTGATGGTGAGGTCATGCCTGATGAGGTTCACATCAGGGCAGGGTCTTGTGGTGGGTCTCGTTATGGGTCAAGTGTGGATTACAAGTGAGAATCTTGTGATAGGGAAGTTACATCAAGTGAGGCTCATTGGGAGACGAACTGCTGGTTCCTAGAAGTCTACAAATAGCAATAGCCCTCAAACCCATAGCTGCATTCCTCCAGGAATTATCCAGAACCAAATACAAGATACAGAACGATGTCAGAAACGATGTAATTTATAAAATCAACTAACAATTGCAACCAATTATATGTGGGACAAACATCACGCCAATTAAAAACCAGGAACCATGAACACCGTCTGGCAGTCACACGCCACAATTCCAAATCCTAATCTCTACCCACACTGACACAAAACAACATCAATTCGATGGGAACAATACAAGAATCATCAGCCATGCTACTAACCGCCACACTCATGAGTTCATCGAAGCCTGTTACTCCACAAGCAATTTCATAAACAGACACATTGACCTACAATCAGCCTACGAACCCCTCAGAATTCAAATCAACTGCACAGCCAACCCATGCAAACCTTCCCCAACTAGCACTTCACCTCCCAATTATCCTTACCTGATGTAACCTCCCCATCACAAAACTCTCACTGGTGACCGAACCTGATCCATCACAAGATCCACAAGAACCATCACAAGAACCTGACCTGATGTGACCCTCACCTGATGTGACTTCACCATCACAAGGCCTACTGACCACACAAAGCTCTTATAAACAAAAGAACACTGACACTGACATCCCCTAAATTCTACTAAAGATTTATCTAGCCTGGTAACGAAATGTTTAGAAACCAACCCACAAGCTCAGAGAACAAACCTCTGCCCTCAAAACCAGCATCTTGCATGACATTTGTTTGGATTCCACCAGTGAAATGATCTGACTCATGGAACCGTGGACTGATTCTGGACTATTTTTCTGCACATTCCTGTTAAAAAGGTAACCATTTAGGTAAGCTCTTTTCTAGGACATACAACAATCATCATAGCATAAGATTTCATTTAGCTCTAAATATGAATATTGATTTATACAGATTATTTCCATCAGAATAATTTAATGGAATTAACCTTATTTGGGTGGCTAAACAGATAACATGTTTAAATTCACTGGTTTGTAATAATAATATGCTACTTTAATTGGAGAAAATACATAAAGGCAGTAGTAATCTAAGAAGAAACCTAGATAAACTGAATTGGAATTGGTATAAACTTGTGCCTAGCAGGCACATGTTTAAAACGCTGCATTTCTTACAACTGTACATGGTATTATTAATTATATCTAATAACTAGATCCTTTCATTTCAAGAAAGAGTCCCAGTGTAGCATTTTATTGAGACTCCATGTTTCAGAAAATAATAAAATTACTAAGTTTTATTTTCAAGATATGAAAACTGTATAAATGATTTAGATAAAAATTAAAAACAGAAGTATTAATCTTAAGTAAAGCTGAAAGCTTGAATTAACACTACTTTCAATTGTGCCCATTAACAAAAGCTTTAATATAGATTTGCACAGCAAGCCAAATATTTTCTAGTTTAGAAATAATGAGGCAGCTACTATTATTTTAACCCCTTTGGAGTATAATTGGCTGATAAGGTTTTGAAAGATTGCAAGGTCTAGGACAAAAAGATTAGCTTTAGTCTCTTCAGATCAAAATTGGAAGCTAATTAAATAACATTGTTGTAAAAGGGAAGGTCTACCATATTTTTATTCATCCTTAATTTTCCTCTCCTGAGAAAAATAAGTATTTTTTTTTCTTTCCAGTTATTTGGATATTAACATTAAGCCCACCAAATACACAAAAGGAATGGCATAATGATGTATCAATTAAAGTTGGACAACATAAAATTAAATAAATTATATCCAGCTTATTTCATGAGGTAAGGTATTTTTACTCATGATTTGCTGAACAAGCCATAATAACTTCATTCATACATATCACCAAGCCACTAAAAGCAGTATTTTTGACCAAGTCAGAACTTGGAATTAGGAAATAATTGTCTTTCCAACTGCAAAAATATACTAGCACCCTGGTATTCTGAGCAGAAGTGATGACAAAATGATATGGTAAGAGATAGTACAAGATTCAGTCAACATACAAATCACTCTTTTTTCAGTCATAATCTTGCAACTGTGCAAGTATTCTAAAGAACAGGACCCCATCCAGTCTTTAGGTTATCTTCCAAAAGCTATTTTATCTTTACCGATCTGGATTAGAATTTTCACATTATCTTATTTCAGCTACTTTACATGTGCCTTACATTTTAAATTGCATTTATTATTACTGTATCTATTTTATAAACAACTCATTAGGTTTTAAGCCACTCTGCAGAAGCTTTCATTTGGAAAAATAAGTGTATTAACATATATGAATAGGTCCTACAACACCGATTTTACCAGGAGTAATATCTTGTATAATGAAAACACTTGTTCCACCTTCCAAAGCACAAATACATCAATTAAGTGTATCTGCATTTGCTCATTAATATCCTGCATTTGCATGTCTTAAAATGAAGATATGATAGGAAAATAGGAACTCTCTTCAAATGAAGGCAGTATAAAAATGCAATGAAAAAATATTTTGCACAGGTATAAGCTCCAGTATTAAATAGAATTGCTACAAAAATATCTGAACAGCAGATTTCTGGATGGCATAACTTGTATTGTTCAAAATTCTCAGATTATATCTAAAGCTCACATTAATTTAATAGCTTATGGAAGATGGAAATTACGATGGAAATTAATCTTAGAATAAAATATAAATGTATCTTTTACCACAAAAAGACTGAAAGTTGTTTCTTTAGAATCTTTCCTTTTCTTTCTTTTCTTTTCTTAATACTGTTATATGGATAAAGCAATGTTGGAACCATTATGTTATATAAGTCAGTGGCTAGCAAGCAGAAAGGATGTGTTAACTGGCATATCATATACTTTATTTTAGCTCCTATGCTATTTAAGAGCGTTATTAACAATTTGGATGAAGGACTTAGAAAATACAGTATAATATTAAAAAAAATTGCAAACAACAAAACATTGTATCCAGTTCTGTATACCAGATATTGAGAAACTGAAGTGCGGTCAAAGGAGACAACAAAAAGAATAAGAAGATTGGAAAGAAAAGCATATGAAAAACCGAAGCACTAGAGAAAAGAGGACTGTGAAGAGGTATGACATCAATCTTCAAGTAACATGCAGTAGATACTGCAGAACTGCCA